AAGTTCCACAATTTCGAATTGCACAATTGCCCCTCTGGTCCCTGATGAACGCAGATCCTGGATTGGCAAGATCAATGGGTGACAGTGATGCGGAGGCAAAATTGAAAACCAACCGCCGCTCCTGCTGGTCCCAACTGATATTGCTGATGCTGTAGGCCGATGATCCTTGCTTGTGGTATCTGATCCGTAGGAAAATGGGTCGTAGTCAGGGCCGAGAACTGGCACAATGTATTATTTTAACCGCTGTGCCACTGGTTGTGCCCGTCGTGTCTCCAACAACCCTCCAAAAAAACATAAATTCGACAACGGTTTTTTTTTTTTTTTTTTTTTTTTTAGCGAAAAGTTTGGTAAGGCCGGGAATCCTCCACAAACAACCCGGAGTGTCGTAACCATCCTAGGGCCATTACCCAGGTTTGGCTTGGGCGTTGGGATGATGTCCAGAGACAACAAGGTCGATACAAGAGCAAAGCTCTGACTACTCCGCAACCCCTAACAAAGAAAAAAAAAACAAAGAAACTCACAAGACAGGAAAACCGAACAAACCAAAACCAACCACTGCCACTAGAACCTCTTCCTATACGCTTCCAGGGGAAGGGGGGGGGGGGGGGGGACACTAACGGGGCAAGGAAGGGGCCTGAGAGAGACAAAGAAGCAGACGAACAGACAATAAGGTCCTACCGGGTTGGGAAGGGAAAAAGGAAAGAGGGGAAGGATGAGAAAAACCAACCTAGCAACTATAGGCCTACCAACCACCTAATCCGGCGGGGAGGGTCCCAACGGACCCCTATATCCTACTGACACTCCCTCCAAACCTAAGTCCCCTTCTGCCTGCCCACCGCGGCCCAAAAACCGAGTGCTCTGGTATAAGAACTACAGTTAAAGACCTACCCATCCAAGTAAAACCAAGAGCCCAATTACAACTTGCCTGCCATTGATATACTAGCTAAGTCCTTATTGAGACACCAAGTTTTCTGGAACCACGATCTCCCCGAGGCTGTCGCTATGCAACCTTTCCTCCTCCAATCCGCCTGTATCGACCTGCGCAGGTTTGTTCTGAAGCGATGGCGAATTTCCTTGTTACTCAATTCCTTCTTCTTAAAGACCCTGCAGTTTCTCTCATACCATATCACCTCCATTCCAGCTGCCTTTGCTGTTTGAGCAACGTAGCCTCAACCTGTCTCAACTTCTAAGTCCTCTAGGATGCCTCCTAACAGAACCCATTCCCTATCCCATGAGAGTGTTTGACCGACAAGAGCTATCCAGAATCTCCTCCACCATTGCCAAATTCTGTTGGAGGCCGGACAGTCCCACCACAAATGCGGTGTGGCCTCAAATGCCCATTGACAGCTACAGCAAGTTAGGTCTACCGGGACCCCTCTTTGTGCTAACCAAACTGCCGATGGGTAGCCAAATAGGATAGAAGCCTGATGAGAGCCGCCTGTCTTTGATTGGGGATCACTCTAATTTGTTCCCAGCACTTGGAGATGGCTGACCTGATGTCCTCCGGTGGAAGTTGCAACACTTGTATCCATCGACCAACTGCAACCGCTAGGGGTTGTCGTGGGGGGCTGAGGAGCTTGTAACCTATCTGGGCCGTATAGTTCAGAATAGGGAGATTTTCTCCTTTCGTGCCTTTAGCTCTCCAGGCCCAAAGCGCTGGGTCCAGCCTGACTGATTCGATCGGTTGACCGTCTGCAAACAGTAAGCATGACAGAGTGTCATCCTGCTCCAAGTTTTCGAATACTCTGACCTAACTTAATGGGGCTCCCAACTCTGGGTGGGTACGTTCCATCTCAAGCTGCAAAGTGGCGCTAGCAGTAGACTGTCTAATCCAACACTGGAAAATTCTTCTCCCACCTGTGTGAGCGACGAGCTTCCAAAACTCAGTCGGGTTGAGTACCGACCAGTACCACATACCAGGTGGGTCAAGGCTGGCTGGATCCAGCAAGGCTATCCACGTTGTTGGGATAGCAGCCAATATCATGTTTCTCCTCTCCTCGACCAGTCTGGTTGAGCCGAGTCTGAACTGTAGGTCTTCTGTAGAAAACCACTTGTTACTCAGTGAATCCCAAAGATTTCTAATTGTCACTACACCCTTCTCCATCCAGGAACGCCCAAAGCTGCCTGAGGCAGAATCTGCCTTGATCCATTGACCATTACAGTCGGTAATATGTGGGTTCTCGAAGATCGGTTCATTGAGAACCTCCTGTCTTGTGACCGGCTGTTCCTAGGTGTCAGGTCTGAGTCGTCTCCAAGCTTGAATGATGGGTGCCCAGAAAGGCGACTTGACTACCCTTCTCTGATACAAGTAAAGGAGCATGGCGACCCATACGTCCTCAGGGCGACTGAGATTCCATTCCTTCATCAAGATCAATTCTCCGAGCAAAATCCATTGTTCCGACTTCTCTGTGCATTCACGATCCACTTCACCAGCATTGCTGCATTCCGCCTTTCCGGGTCTGTTAACTCCAGCCCCCCCTCGAGACAAGAGGAGGTAATCAGTTCTCACGCGACTTTGGATATGAAGGAGTCTCCAGCGTCTGAGAAAGGTTTCCACAAGAATTTAGATGCTCCTCTTCTAAGCATCAGACAGAGGTGTTGACCCAGTCTCCGGACCGACCCTACGAACCAAAGCAGGGAAAACAGGGACGCATTAATGACCATGGCCCTGCCAAAAATTGATAGATGAACCGCCTTTCCCCAGGTGGAGAGCCTGTGGAGATTCTTCTGAAGCAGTAGCCCATCCTGGTCGGCCGAGCAATCAAATATGGCAATCTGAACACCTAAGAACCTCTCCGAAATATTAAGCTCAGCCTGCTTCATTCCCCATCGAATGGTAGGAGTGTACTGGCTAGGTAGGAGAAAAACCGACTTGTGCCAATTAACCGAGACCTCAGACAGTAGTGAATACTCCTCAAGGCAACTCTTAAGTGCACCCAGGGACTCAGGACTGTTCCTAGAGATAGCCATTAAGTCGTCCGCAAGTGCTTTTACTCGGCATTCACTGCTACCTATTTGCAGGCCCTGCATCTGAGGGTGGGATCTAATGTTATTCATGAGGACCTCTAATTGAATCACGAAGATCAAAGGGGCGAGCGGGCATCCTTGCCTAAGAGATCGGGACAACTTAAATTTCCGGGAGATTCCGAGTCTCCCGTTAACCATAACTGCAGCCGTAGAGAAAACGTAAAGAGCAGTAATCCAGCAGCAGAAGTTGTCAGCGAAGTTCATCCGCTTGAGGGTGGAGAAAACATACGACCAATTAACATGGTCGTATGCTTTCTCCAAATCCAATAACAGTACCATCGTGTCCAACTCTTCGTCCGAAATAACTTCCAGGGTCAAGATAGCAGTGACAATATTATTAAAAATTGAGTGGTTCTTGACGAACGCGGCTTAATCCTCCTTAACCAACTCCGGAAGCACAAAACTCAGTCTGCGAGCTAGCGTTTTGGCTAGGATTTTGTAGGATGTGTTCAGTAAAGCAATAGGCCTGTAGTTCCTTACCTCAGCCTTGTCACCCTTCTTATACAATACTGAAATGATTTCGTTACGCATATTCATGGACAGGCTTCCTCCGGTAAGAACTGAATTGTAGCTCCACTAGGTTATCTCCTACAGCATCCCAGATAGAGAGGTAAGCTTCAACTGGCAAACCATCGTCTCCAGGCACTTTCCCTTTTGCCATAGATTTCAAAGTGCATTTAGCTTCCTCGTTAGTAATCGATCGATCCAGGAGCAGTCTAGCAGTGTTAGACAATCTGACAGGTGTATTATCCCAGTGCAAAGATTGCTGGAACAAATCCGAAACCACCTCGTGACCTTGAAGACGAGAAGTGAGTATATCCTTATAATATACCGCCGCGTACTCGCTTATCGTTACAATGTCTCTGGCTTTCGGGCCCTGAGGGTCAAAGGGGTGGATGAGTTCGTTAATGGGTTGAGAGGCTTTCCGGGGGACGAGATTGTGAAATGCTTCTTTACTCATTCAATCATACACTGCGATACCCTTAATTCTTAACCTCTCAGCCCAGACCTCTGAATTCCTCTGTTGAAGGTTGTTTCATTCTGCTAACAACTTCGATCTCTCCTTTCCCCAGACTATTCGTGAGATCGGGTGGCGCTCCATTATGAGCTCTACTTCCTCCAATCTTCTCCTAATTTTAGCTTCCTCCTTATTCTTGTTCGAGGCCAGTATCTTGGAGAACACCTTCAACAAGTTAGAAAACATGGTAGAGCCAGACTGCCACCATTCTTCAATCGAGGGAAAACTCTGTTTGACTTTCTCCCAGTCAGCCCAAAAAAATATCATCCACTCAACTAAACTCGGGTCCTGTAAATTCTGGGTGTTGAACTTGAAGTACCCCTTACCCCTAGCCAGGAGTGCAATGTGTAACTGTAGGAGAACGGGTTTGTGATCAGAAAGAGGATGATGGTGTTCTTGGACTGCGTCAACCTGCTCCCACAGTTGATCGAAGATTAGAAAGAAGTTCAATCTACGGCTGATTATACCTATACCTTCCCGGTGATTGGAATACCACATATGACCTTCGTCCGTTGGTTGTGATAGACGGTATGGATTCACCAGGGAGCGTCTGTTCATTAAGCTTAAGAGATTTAAAACATCTACTGGATTCTGGCTGCCGTGTTTAGAGGCAGCAGAGTCCAGTGAGATGTTCCAATCCCCCGCAATAATTAAATTCGAACATTTCGGAATCAACTCATTCAGATCTTCAAAAAAGGCAGCTCGTGCTCTCCTATCTGTCGGAGCATATATATTAACAATCAACCAATCCTTGTCGTCCGCCCACGACTTTAGCCACACCCAGCATCCCCAAAGATCTGCAAAATAATCAACTATCTCCAACTCAGCGTCCCTATGCACGAGCATGGCAACCCCTCCTCTGGTGCCTTGAGCAGGCGACCAGATTTGGGGGCCATCCCACCGGAACCCTAAATCATTAATTCTTTCTTCACTTAACTTGGTTTCCTGTAAACATGCAACATGGACGCCTTTATCGTGAATCCAGGATTTTAGTCTCGCTTTCTTGAACTTACTTGACTGATTGACTAAGCCTCACAAATTCCATGTAGATAGGCGAAGCCTGCCTATTCAAGCCCTAATTCCCGGATACTTGTTGGATAGGGGCGGCTGTTCCAGATGACGACGACTGCTGGTCCCATGGTGCAACGAGGAAATCTCTGATGAACTTGGAATTGAACTTCTTGTCCCTTGCCAATTTGTCGTTTAAATCCACAAGGAATTCGCCAGTACAGAACGGGGGAACTCTGATTCTACGAAGTTCTTGTCGTCTGCCTTCTACAAACCAGACAAGTGGAAGAAGCCTCATCCCTGCGTGTTCCAGCTTAGGCAGTTGCGCCTGCTCCACACGAGCATCAAGAATCGGAACAAAGAATTTCAACTTCCTACCATTTTCCAGGTCCAGGATGAACCTGCCCATAGGCTCGTCCGGGATCAACCGGACCAGGAACTTATCCCTCACCGCTGCTTGAATAACGTTGGTAACCGCGGTAGGCATCGACTGATCCGGAGATGCGGTACTGAAAAGCTCTGGCACTCCATCCCCTCCGCTCCATGCAACAACCGAAAGTGTCCCCTTCGCCGCGGTGCACATAAACGGCAAAATCCTGTTTTCGACGATGTCCAACTGTCCCCGACTTAAGACTGTAGGCGTACGTCTTTTGGTAGTCTTCATACCTGGAGTTCCTATAATTGTCGCTTGATCACCCGAGCCCTCCGATCCAGGGAGGGAGGAAGCCGACACTTCCCTAAATACTTCATCCTGCTCTTCGCTGTCTACCCTTCTATGCTTCTCGAGGGTACTCCCTCTCATTCTGCCTCCTGGAGTTACCGAGCCAGGACGCTCCGTCCTGCCTGGCGTTTGACTGGAACTTGGACCTCCGCCAAGCCCTCCTTGCGAATCTACTTGGCCGCCCCTTGGGAAGAGACAGGTTGGTTGAAGCCTACTCCGCGCCTCCTGATATGGTTGAAAACCGCCACCCTGGCCTTGGTTACCCATCTGTGGGAACACACCCAATGGGTGTCCAAGCGGGACAGAACTGTCAGCTTGAGCAAGCGCCAGCTCTTGCAACAGATGAGCTAAAACCACGTTAGGCTGCATAGCCTACGGAACTGCCATGAATGCCAGATTCTGATAGATGTTTGCAAAGCTCATGTCTGGCAACTGAGCCAAGCCTCCTCCAACAACAGAGGTCGCAGGTTGAGCACTTGCTCCTCCTCTTCCTAACGGTCCATAGTATATTTGTCTGGACGAAACCTCCTGAGCTGCCTCATCCCTGCCGCCCTGGCTTCCTGCACCGCCTTGTTGTTGGCGAAATCGCCCTCCTCTTCTGCATTCATCAGTAGTGTGGAAGAATGCGCGACACTTTCGACAGCGAGGAGTATTCGAAGACACAAGCCTGACCTCCAATTCGTCATCTTCGAAAGTATCCACCGTTATCGAGTCCTTCATGTTCGGTCTCGCCTCCGGATCGAGATCGAACTTAATGTTGAAGAGCGCCGGTTTCAGGCGGTCTCGCTCCGGTGGGTGCGTCAAAATGACCGGGCCGATAGCTCGTCTAATGTGCGCCTCCAAATAGAACATCGCATCTAACGGAACTTGAACCGCGACAACCCAGAAGGTCGAGAGGTCCTCCAGTCTTCGTTGCTCCCTCAACTGCGCCTTAGTGAGCCATGACTTGAACTCCATCTTGTACGTGTCCCCTCCCAGTACTACTTTCATGCTTTGTTTCTCCACGAACCAGGCGAAGATGGTGGTGCTCTTTGCAACATATGAGGCAACATTTAAGCTTTCCAACTTAACTCTCCCTCTGCTAAAGCCTTCGCCAAATTTGCCTGTCTGTACTTTCTCGTCTTCGTAAGCTCTGATGAGATCTTCCTTCACGTTCCTTGAGAGGAAACGGGCTGCGTCCCTGAAGATCACGGTGATCGTTCGCTCTTTTAGCCATTGTACCTTGAGTCTGTCGATAGAGTCCTTTACTTTGAACGTGACATTCTGTCCTTGTACCGTCATCTCCCCTGGGTCAATATCCCTGGGGAGAATGCCATCTTTGTAACAAAGACGGAGAAGTTCCCTAACTCTAGCATCGTCCTCCTCGTGACCACCTAGGTCAGGAGGGGGCGACCTATTCGCCATCCCTGTCCCTGTTTCAGGATTCATACCGATAGGATAGAGTTTATTACGCAAGAGGTCGGGACTGGGGAGGACGATTAATATGTGGATAGGGATATGGGGCCAAGGACGTGAAGATGGAGAAAGCAGGTTACGTGACTCTAAGACCAGCTCATCACTCGAGTACGGGAGTGCCTTGACAGATAGCAGTAGAGCCTATAACGACACTTGAGACAATGAAGTGAAGTGGGGAGGGAACCACTGAGCGCGTGTCGTCAAACCTAGCAGGGGTGTTCACTTTCGTCAACATCCCTGTTGTCGCTTCAAGGAGCGAGCCAGATGACGTCACTACCAGACTGCTGTCTTGCTGACCGCGGGAGCTGTCGCCCCAGGAACACCGTTACCGGCCGAACAACGCTTGGTCCGAGCGCAAAATTAGCGCCGACGGAAGCGCTTCGGTCCTCCCCAATCCCCTGCCACAACGTTTTTGTAATCCCCCCTCTCAATGAACTTTTCATCACAACAATTCTAACGGTCAATCTCTCTAAGGGCCTCGTTAGACCCTCCTTGAAAATCCTCAGGAATGTCGAAAGTTATGGTTACACCGCGTCCTAAAAAACAAAAATCCTTGAAAAAAAGTGAAAACGCTCCCAAGAGATTTCCTTGGGTCCCTCGGAATCCCCAGCCATTGCGTCCTTGGATCCAAGGGGTCCTCGAGAGGTCCCTTGGGCTCAAGGATTCGCGATAGACGGGCCGTCGTTGAGCGTGCGTCGTGACGGGAAGTTTCTGTCTTTGCTGGTGCACATGACGTCCGTGGTCCATCGGGCGGACAATATCGACTTGCTACCGGCGGGAGGTCACCAACGGCCTTCTGGTGTTACCGTTCGCGCGTACACGGCCGGGGGTCCCGCTTCGGGTGCAACAGACGTCGTACCGGCGGGGTTCTCTTCCTGCACTTCGTCGGGCGTCGTGTCCAAGGATCGAATATTTCAAAATGTGTTTTATGTGCGGGGTGTGATGTTGTCGTCGGCCGCCCCGTTTGTTGCCATTCGCGTGCGCGCGTGAGGGTTGTCCGTTCGGGTGATCATCTACACGTGGTGCGTTTCATGGCAGACATCTTCCGGCGGCTACCGCTCATGTTACTAGCATCTCTTCTGCTGCTTCTTCTCGTCTTTTTGTGCGCCTTCGTCGTGACGCGGCCTCTTAGGCGTAGACAGAGATGACAAGTGGATAGGAAGACGACGATGGACAGGCGGGACAGCTCCGTCGGACAGCAGAGACGTGTGATGGATTTCTCCATTCCTGATCGGCCCCGGTCCGGCCATCGACCCGCCGCATATGACCCGTCCTTGTACAGTCATCTTCCATCGCACGAACAGTGTAGCGAGCGTGAGGCTGAGGGTGAGCCGAGGGAGATGAGAGAGAGGGAGAGAGAGGGAGAGAGTGAGAGCACACACACACACTCACTCACTCGACACGACGGACTCGGACTGCGGGTCGGACGCAGACACAGTGGCAAGGCACAAAGTCGAAGTCTTGGATCCCGAATGCCGAAAACAGCAAGTCACACTGAGTACGAGTACAGCARCAGAGAACTGGTACGCGACTGGTCGAGACTCCCCCYCTGTASCGTACGGGGAGCYGKTCATAAGTACCGGTGACACGTACGGTACCGGGGGCATTTCTGCAAAGGCCCCGAGGGCAGAACTGAAAAATGCAGTATTTGAAAGTGGCGCCCGAATTGCAGCATGGCGCCAGTTGTCCAAAATCCTACGGTACCAAAAGGAGGGGTTTGGAAAAAGGGTGCCAGGCCGAAAACGGGATGCAGCCGAAACAGCAAAAGGTAGACCGGGAGTCGAGCCCTGGCGAAGTCCGTAACACTATCCCCTCCCTCTAGAAGGCAACGTCCCGGCTGCCAAAAATCATGAAGCAATGCTGAAATCTGTGAAGGACGGGACGRGGCCGATCACTGGTTAACAAGTCGAAAGGGAAGAGGGGTATAATGTGGGTGGCATGGGCTGCGGGAGTAAGAGGGAACAGGGTTTGGTACCGGTGAACAGGGTTGTCCTACTGATGAACTAGGGGGGGTTGCAAGGAACAGGGTAGTCCTACAAATGAACTAAAGGGAAGATAGGGAGCAGGGTTGTCCTAC